GCGACGTTGGATTTAAAGGAAAAAGGTGTAAATGAGGTAGAATTCTCTTTACAAATTTTTTTTTTTCATTAATTCAGCGCCTTAAACAATAACTTTCTCTTCTTTCCCGTATTTCCCACTTTTTCCCTCTTTTCCTTTTCCTTTCTTTTTCTTTTTTGTTTTGTATCTGTTCTTCTTTCATTCTTATTTAACTCCCTCCTTGTATTCATTCCAAACAATTTTTTCGTACTTTAATTTTATTACTGCTAATACCACGACCCTCATATAAATGAGGTCCAGTTATGCTACTGAAAAGGAATGTATATGATTTAATGGATCGAAACATTCCCTTTCAGTGGCAAATTTGGTTTTTTACTACTTCAGTTTTCATTTTTCTTTTTTTTTCGTCTTTAGCCTAGTATGGGTTTCTAGGATGGCTTTTTGTAGATTATTACAGCTGACATATTCTTAGGTATCTACGTTTGAAGTATTTGATGAGTAGTCATTTCGATTTAACATATAATTTTTATTACTATCATAATTACAATGATTTCGTTATTGCTATTTATTTTATCAATGTCATTTCACATTTAGGCTTTTTTATCATTGTGATTATTTCCGTTATTACTGTTTTCATCAACATTATTATTGTGTTTATTAGTATTATTTTTGTTTATCACTTTTTTTCTTATTACCAAGTTTATTGTTATTATTACGTTCGTGGATAATAATCTTTCAAAAAGGAATGTATATAAAGCAGTCAAAAAAGCTGGAGGGTTTAAATTTTGTGGACTTGGACCCACTATTTTGCGATTTGGGCATGAAACCACCCTTTACTTGCCCTCTGCTTCTTAATCCGTAAGGGGACGAGGATGAAGTGCCGGCAGTTTTAAGAGCCAGGCCGAATGAAGTTTCCTTTAAAGTTTTCTTTTTTCAAACGTAACGTTTATTTGCAATAGCCTGAAAGGACAATATTATTTGCTCTGCATTTTAGATGAACGTTTTAGCTAAATAAAAGCGAAAACTGAAATTTTTAGCCTGTTTTGAAACGTGCACCGGATGACAACGATGCCACGCTGATGTGCATGATAAAAGCATGGAAAGCTCGGCGACGCACTGCACTAACAGTGTACTCTCCACAGCAGCAACAGCAGCAGCAACTACAGCAGCAGCAGCATGTTATGGTAAGCGTACCGCAGCAAAACTTCTCGATATTGCCACCGCAATCTAGATGTGCCGCCTACTTTACTACCTGTGAAGCATCCGGCATTACTGCTGCTTCTCCTGTACTGAACCCTGCTGTTGCGGTGGCTTATTCATCGAATACTGGTGTCTCGTTTGCCGCATTCCCAGCTGCCTTCCATA